CGAGGGGGGGGGGGGGGGGGGGGGGGGGGAGATTCCATGGCCTAAAGAATCCCCTCCAACCCTACATTTCTACAATATATGACATATATCCATTTTAGGATTTCTCATTCCAGAAAAAGAGAAGTAAATGGAGGCATGCAAGATCTTGCAAGGCACTGCTTTACCATGCTTAAGTAATCAACACCAGATAGCTTTATCTTCCCTTATTGTTTCATCCCTCTACCATAAATTCAGATGTGGTCATGGGGATACTCATGGCTATTTTCATATGTATGTTTTAAAGTGAAGAATTGACTTTTGAAACTGAAAGAGGAAGATCTCCTTTTCCAATCATTGTCAGTCCCTGACATCTCCATTATTCTTACTTTTTCTATCTAACAGAGACCGTAAGGCTATGCTTGACTCAATTTTCTGCATTAATTGTGGTATGTCTTGAGCAGATGTAGTCCAAATTGCATCACCAGAAGGTTCCTTAAAAGGGGTGCTGTTATTGAAAAGCACTTATTCCCAATGAAATACTGTGGTTTCATTTTGCACATGGAATACTGTTACAGGTAGTCCTCACTATCTGACCACAATAGGGACTGGAATTTAGGTTGCTAAGCGATTTGATTTTTAAGTGAATCAGAGCTAATTTTACGACCGTTTTTATTATGGTTGTTAAGTGAATCACTATGGTTGTTAAGTGAATCACGTGGTCGTTAAGCAAATCCAGCTTCCCCAATGGACTTTTTGCTGGAATTCACTTAATGACCATGTGATTCACTTAAAAACTGTGGAGATTCATTTAACGACTATTGTAAAAAAGGTAGCAAATCACGATCATGTGACCACGGGGATCATAAAGCACTTTTCCCAAGGCCGTTGTAACTCTGGACCATCATTAAATGAATGGTCATTAAGGGAGGACTACCTGTACAGGCAAGATCAAGCTTGTCTGGACAGATACCAGATCACTTTAATAAAGCACCTAGTACATTCTGGCATTGTATCAGTTTGTAATACAAATATGGGAAAAGAAAAAGAAAAAAATGTTGCACCTTGTGGTGAAGTGCATTCAGGTCCTGAACAAAATCAGTGTTCTCCTCTTCCAGCTCGTCAGCATGTTGCCTCACCCTATATATAGATCTCTGATACTCACGCACCTGGTTCTGTAAAGAAAAAAGAAAATGCAAAGTAAACCTAGAACCTCAAACCTTATAGAAAAATTAGAAAAGGAATAATTAACTGGAAAGCTCCACATACAATAACGGCTTGCATAGAACCATTGATGCTGTGCAGGCGGGCCCATGCAATTGAGGTGGTATTGAGACTTGACAACTGATGTTTGAGGGCAGGGAAGTCACTTTCAATCTTCTGGAGATCTTCTAGCAAGAGCAGCACACAGCTATCACAAGCTGTTAATGAGAGAAGAAAGTAATCCATGGCAGAATCGATAAAGACAGGACGAACCTAGATGGGAATCATCGGCCAAGATAAACTTAAGTTTCAGCAGTCTAAGATATGAGGAAGAACCATGGAAATAAGAGTACATTATTAAAACACTGAGACTAACAACTTATCTACATTTGCCTAATCATTTTGACAACCCTCTTATTCATTTCTCAAACCCACACATCATGTGGCCCCAAGTGAAAGTGTTACAAGATACATGCAGGATTTCTGAGTTATTCTCAATTTGGCTGTTAGGATAGACATAAATGATGTTCCTGGAATCAACGTTAGCTAACATGAAGAATTATAGAAAGAACCCTGCCAAACAGAGAGCTGGGACCAAGGAACTTGGGTGTGAAAGAAAGAGATCCAGGAAGAAACCTAACCTTCACATCTCATGTTGTCTGGACCATCCACCACGGGGATCTCATGCTTCTTTATACAGGTGTCACATTGCTTCCCTGTCAAGCCATTGGAGCAGGTGCACTCACCAGTGCGGGGGTTGCAGGAACCTCCTTTACACTGGCATTCTGTCAAGAGAACATTGAAGGACAAAGATTTGCAAGCACAGCTCCTTTCAGTCCACATGAATCAGCGTGGAGTTCTCTCCATGCATCATTGTAGGTTAGAAGATTTTCCTGCATACAAACTGCAACCGAAGAAGCATAATAGGGAAACCCAGAACAGCCCAAGCTTTCCCCCCATTCTTAAACTATTCACTTAAGAACATTCAGATGTTTATTGATACTTTGTTTTTCAATACAGAAGTATATGCAATCCTCACCTGGCTGCCAATGTGGAAAGAGGTTAAAAGTGGTACTGTATGTGTATATGTACGAACATATATATGTATGTTATTTATTTCAACATGATTTTGGCCTCAGCTAACTGATAAAATATTGGGTTTTATTTTGGATTTACCTTGGCTTTCTGTAATTATTTTTGGTTTTGACATTGTTCTATTTTTCTTATTTATTATTATGTTTCTGGCTTTTATATTTACTTATACATTATTTAATTAAATATATATTTTATTTACTGAAAAACGATAAATAGATATAAGAGACAGAGACAGAGATCTTAGGGAAACTACCTCTAAATTCTTTAGATGTTGGATCATTTACAGTACATTCAACAGGACATTCAGGTAATCTTCCAAACCAACATTTGGAAAATTAGAAACAAACCAAATATTCTGATGTTCCCCCTTGCACTTGGGTGCATGGCTTAATTAACTACTTCTAGGTTTGATTGAAGGTTTACTTGCAAACCAGGATCCATGTGAGGAGGATCCATCCATCTTTCAGACAACTTAGAATCTACTCAAAACAGCTTGCTGCAGTTGCTTGCCTTGGTAACCTATGATTTGATCAAAGTAGGAAGTCACTGCTGAACCTTTGTGCACACACGAAGGACAGAGGATAAGAATGGGAACATGAACTCTAGAATCTGGATCTTCTAAACCATGGCTTGAAGGATGCACAGCCATGTACCATTAACCAGACCAGGAACCTCAAATCTGTAATGTGCAGGTTGCATATGCTCCCCACGTCATTTTCGGCAAATAATTTGCAAATGCTGATTTTGAAAAAAAAAAAAATACACATCAACCCAGTTAGAGAACCAAATACTGGAATTCTGCTTAACAAGAAGCCCTGCCAGGTGTGTGGACAAAGTGAAATGATTCTGTTCTGCAGTAAAGTTTTCTTTAAAAGAGTTAATACATTTCTGTTTAATGGCATAGAGTGGTACACTTCATTTTTCATTCTGACACATTAGAGCAGTGTTTCTCAACCTTGGCCACTTTAAGAAGGGTGGACTTCAACTCCCAGGATTCCCCAGCCAGCATGGCTGGCTG